GGAGGGGGTGGGGGTGCGGGCGGGATCCAGTGCTCCTGTCCCCGCAGTGCACTGCGTGAAGAGGGCCCGCCGCCACCGCTGGAAGTGCGAGCAGGTGACGTTCTGCGGTGCCGACGAGCAGCTGTGCCACCTGTGGCTGCAGACGCTGCGGGAGCAGCTGGACAAGCTGAGTACGTACGGCCTGCGTGTGTGTTTTGTTATTGTTGTTACTTTTGTTCATCTTCTCCTGGGGACATCTTTTCCCGTTGACTTTTTAAAAAAATATACTTTATTGATTTTTTACAGAGAGGAAGGGAGAGGGATAGAGAGTTAGAAACATCGATGAGAGAGAAACATGGATCAGCTGCCTCCTGCACACCCCCTACTAGGGATGTGCCCGCAACCAAGGTACATGCCCTTGGCCGGAATCGAACCTGGGACCTTTCAGTCTGCAGGCCAACGCTCTAGCCACTGAGCCAAACCTGTTAGGGCTCCCGTTGACGTTTAGAGAGTGGAAGGGAGGGAGCCAGGGGCAGAGAGAGAGACATGGGTTGGTTGCCTCCTGCATGCACCCTGACCCGGGCCAGGGCTCGAACCTGCAACCCAGGTAATGCAGCCTCTGTATTTAGAGAAAGACCGAGTAGCTGTGGTACCTGCCTGCATAAACGTGTGCGTACACGTGTGAGATCATGTACGTGTGAGTGCGTGCATGCGGAGGTGTGCCTACATGTGTACATGTGTGTGTGCGTGTGTGCATGCATGCGTGCGTGTGCTGCCATGACCTCTGCTTCCCTCCTCCTCTCTCAGCCCCTGTAGCCGAGCTGGAGGTGAGGCACCGCTGAGCTTTTACGCGTTTTCTAGTTGAAGGAGCAGCTGGGTGTGTGCCCGCAGCACCGGCTCTGCCTGCGGGTTCGGCTCCGTGTTGGGGAAGTGCGTCCCCACTCTGGTGTGAGCTGGAGGTCGCCCTGGCGGCCACGGGCCTCCGTGGTGTGATGCGTGTTCCTTCATCCACTTGGCGGTGACGGTCACCGGGGCAGCTCCCGTGTGGCTCTCACACGCCTCCCAGCGCGTCTTCGGCTGAGCACGCGCGCACTTCTCTTGGGCGCCTGCCCGGGACTGGGATTGCGGGGCCGGACGGGGTGCATGTGTCCGGCCTCAGTGGGCACGGCCCGCCTTTCCCAAAGTGAGGGTTCCGGAGGCTCCCTTCAGGGAACCGCCAAGTTCTGGCTGCCCCCATCTCGACTGCACCCCGAACATTTCAGCCTCTCTGGTGGGTGTAGTTTGCATTCCCTGACGCTGGCGAAGGAGGAACACGCCTCTGTGGGGGCCACCCCGAAGCCCTCTGTGAGGCGTCTGTTCAGGTTCGGGTCCATCTTTCTGTGGGGCTGTCTTTCTCACTGACGTGTGGACGTCCCGTCTGTGCTGTGGGTCGGGAGCTTTTCCTGGACTTGGATGCACAGGTGCCTTCTCCCATCGAGAGCTTGTATTTCACTGCCTTCACTCCGTTCTTTTTAAAAATATATATTTTTATTGATTTCAGAGGAAGGGAGAGGGAGGGAGAGAGAGAAACATCAAAGATGGGAGAGAATCATTGATCAGCTGCCTCCTGCACGCCCCCCGACTGGGGATGGAGCCCGCAACCAGGGCATGTGCCCTTGACTAGAATCGAACCCGGGACCCTTCAGTCCGCAGGCCGACGCTCTATCCACTGAGCCACACCGGCCAGGGCTTCTCTCCGTTCTCTTGATGGTGAACAGTCTTAATTGTGACCTGGTTTCATCGATCTTTTCTCAGCCTCTGTGGCTGGGCTGTGTCCTCTTAGGGCGTCTTTGCGCCGAGGCCATGAGGGCCTCCTCGTCTCTAAGCGTGAGACCCATGACCCCCGGAGCTGGCCTCCCACGTGGTGCGAGGTTCCCATCCTTTGGGTGTAGACACCAGCCTGACACCCGCTTCCCCCGTCTGCGGGAAAGACTGTCCTCCCGGCTCTGCTGTGGCCGTCGTGTGTAGCTTGTGTGTAGCTTGTGTGTAGCTCGCGTGTAGCTCGTGTGTAGACGTTGAATGGAATTTGGCGTTTCGCCTCCCGCCCCATGGCTTTGCCGAACTCACTCATTAAGGAACAGTTTGAGGACGTCCCCGTCGGCTGTGCAGACTCAGTTCTGTCTCCCGCCTCCGGCCTCGTGCCTTTTCGTGCTTCTTCCTCCGCGTGGGCCTCGTCGGGCTGTCACTGTCCTCTCCCCGTGGGCCTCGTCGGGCTGTCACTGTCCTCTCCGCACGGACAGGAAGCCCCCAGCGCCGACCCTGACCTGTCAGTACCGTGCCCGAGGCTCCACGCGGAATCCCAACCCCTGCTCCTCCGTTCGATCCGCGCGGAGCTTGGGTTGCTCGCTCGTTACACGCACCCTGAGCCCACGCACCCTGACCCACACACCCTGACCCCACACACCCTGACCCACACACCCTGACCCACACACCCTGACCCACACACCCTGACCCACACACCCTGACCCACACACCCTGACCCACACACCCTGACCCACACACCCTGACCCACACACCCTGACCCACACACCCTGACCCACACACCCTGACCCACACACCCTGACCCACACACCCTGACCCACACACCCTGACCCACACACCCTGACCCACACACCCTGACCCACACACCCTGACCCACACACCCTGACCCACACACCCTGACCCACACACCCTGACCCACACACCCTGACCCACACACCCTGACCCACACACCCTGACCCACACACCCTGACCCACACACCCTGACCCACACACCCTGACCCACACACCCTGACCCACACACACTCACCCTGACCCACGCATCCTGACCCACGCACCCTGACCAACGCACCCTGAGCCCACGCACCCTGACCCACGCACCCTGAGCCCACGCTCTGTCTTGCAGCCTGCAGACCGAAGCGCCTGCTGGTGTTCATCAACCCGTTCGGAGGGAAGGGCCAGGGCCTGCGGATCTACGAGCGGAAGGTGGCGCCGCTGTTCGCGCTGGCCGCCATCTCCACCGAGGTCATCGGTAAGGCGGGGGCTGCGCGGCCGGGGAGGCAGGAGGCCCGTTCGGATGTGGGCACTCGGGATTGCAGACGGAGATTTTTAAAAAATTGATGTCAGAGAGGAAGGGAGAGGGAGAGAGAGAGACATCAATGAGGAGAGAGAATCATGGATCGGCTGCACCTGCACGCCCCCCACTGGGGATCCAGCCTGCAGCCTGGGCATGTGCCCCGACCGGACATCGAACCCGGGACCCTTCAGCTGCAGGCCGACGCTCTAGCCACCGAGCCACAGCGGCCAGGGCTCCTATGAGATTTTAAACAAAATAGAATGTGGGTTGTTGTTCTCCCCCCCCCCCACACACACACACAAATCAGAAGGAGAAGAAGACGGATAAAGAACATAGCGTTTCTAGCCAAGCCCTAGCAATGCCCGCTCTCAGGAAGTGACTCTATGACAGTGATGGCAAACCTTTTGAGCATTTTGAAAAACCCTAACTTAGCTCTGGTGCCGTGTCACATATAGACATTTTTTGATATTTGCAACCATAGTAAAACAAAGACTTATATTGTTGATATTTATTTTATATATTTAAATGCCATTTAACAAAGAAAAATCAACCAAAAAAATGAGTTCGCGTGTCACCTCTGACACGCGTGTCATAGGTTCGCCATCACTGCTCTATGAAGATAAATGGATGAAGACCACGGACAGAAATTCTTGGAAGAGATACAGCGATGACGTTTTAGAAATAATATGACCAATAAGCGACATTGTGAGGAGCGAGTGCCATGCCCCGTTGGTGACTGAGTTCCCTGAGCCAGCTCTGGGTGCCGGGGCCCGGGAGGCGGGCGCCGTGAGCGTCCCGTGTAAACCTGTCCACGGGCCCCTGGCGAGGGGCCGCTGCGGTCCCGGCCTCAACCGGGAGGGCTTGCCCGGAGCTCCTGTTCCCGGAGTCTCTCCGAGGAAGACGGTGCCCGTTGGCACGGTGGAAAACACTCGATGTCCCCCCACGGGAAGCGGGAAGACAGACCTGGTGACTCGGCAGGACGGGCATGTGCTCCTCACACGTGGGCTTGGCACACGGTTCCTAACGGGGAACGCGAGGGTCTGATGCGGGAGGGGGTGCGGGCCTCCCACGGTTCCTAACGGGGAACGCGAGGGTCTGATGCGGGAGGGGGTGCGGGCTTGTGCGCACGCACAGCACAATTTCACGGGCTTTGGTTCCTCACGCGGGGCATACGGGCTCTGGGCTGCTGCCGTGTTCTCTGCATCTTGGCTTTTCTAAGACTTTCAAAGTAACGTGGATAATAAGGAAGAACTATAAAGGAGGAGAGTGGATTCTTTCCCAACATACGGTGTCTGTTGGGAATTACACGCCCGAGAGCGGTGCCTCCTGGGGCCGTGTCTCCCGAGGGCC